CCTGGTGACGTGCCAGCGCTGGTGGGCTCTGTGGGTGCACGTGGTGCATCGTGGGCCATGAAAAGAGGCGCTCTTGTTCAAGGTGGCAGGTTGAATGCGGCGCCTACTGTTGTTCTCGTGTCATGACCTCAGGGTCAAGGTGCGGGGCAGCAGTCGCGCGCTCTCGCCCGATGGTTGGAACGCACGGGGCACCATGCCCCATGGGTCGAACACCCACTTGCATGGGTCAACGCCCTCAAATCTCAATTGCTCACCGGCAAGTGCTGTTGGATCCTCGACGATGGTCTCGCCTTTCAGACGTGATGCCGGACGCGGACCTACTGTCAGAGTAGCGGGGGCAGCAAGCGAGCTATTTGCATTCACAAATGTGGAGAGCATAAAATAATGAATCACAAACGTTTCATGCACGGTTTATGTGATGCAGCTCCCCAGCACCATCGGGCACAAGCACGGTGAGTGCAGGTTCCGCGAAGCTCCCCGCCCTCCATCCGTCGTTGCTCATGCTGGCTACCACCATAGGATGTCTCTGCATGCATGATGATGGATTCGTTTGCAAGTTTGCACAAAGCTCGTGGTTTGTTTCCAGGCCGCGCCAACGGGCAACGGCTGGGTGGTGATGAAAGCTGGCCGAAGAAACTAGGGACACCACCCGCGCGAGTACATGCAGGCAGTAAACTGCGTGCATGCTATGCTAGAGTTCAGGCAGCAGGTTTGGGCTACCTGCTGGGCTCCTCTCCTGCCCGTAGTCCAGAGGCTGCTGTCACTGAGTAAAACGACTGTCTGTATGCGGGACCTGCCGCCTACGGCGCAGGTGGTTCAGTGTATCAAAGAGTACCGGTGGCTTGGGTACGGGCAGGGATACCCCAATCGTTTTGAGCACACTGCTGCTTGCCACGTCTGCGGTGTGCGGTTTCTACGTTGGTGACCACTCGCGGCGCGTAATCGAGGCGCGTAATCGACCCTCGTCACTGCGTGCATGCTACGACGGAGTTTATCTATATCTGTACAAGGGAGAGAGAGAGACTACGCAGGCTGTAACGCCCGCGTAAGTTGATTAAGAGGGGGGTGGGTTGCGGGGGCCGAGGCGGCCGCGCCGCCACCCCACTAAAGTGATGTGAAGGGGGCCAAACCCCCTAAATCACTCTTGACGGTGTGCGTCTGCGCTTCTTCCCAAGTCCTCCAGGGCCATGATCAATAGCTCTGCAAGCCCGCATGGTATGATGCAGCATGTTGACTGCATGGGTGTGCAGCTGTTGCAGTGTACATGTGATATCTGAACATTTGCTTGCAAATGAACCACAAAGCCAACAGTATATGCGCGCTCATTCCCAGTCAGCACTTGGGGCACCAGGGCCCAGCAGAATCGGATATGCGCACTGCAACTGCTGCATGAGTTACATCATCAATCAGAACGGGAGGCCAAGGCAGGAGGGCAGCGGATGATGACCACACCGTGTTTGACCATGGCTCACTGGAGCAATACAGGCGGCGCATGGATGCAGGACACCGCATCGGTTGGAAATATTGGATGGGGTGGGTGGTAGATAAGTCCAGATGGTAGATAAGTCCAGACCAGATTGTCGAGCAAGACATCAATATGTGCGCTCAAAATGCACAAAAAACAGCTGTCGAGGCCCCGCCCAGCCGCACACAAGTAACAAGAGGCTAGCTGGGCCCGCCCCTTACCGCGGCCCTGCTGCATCAGGGGCCCCCTCGCCGCTGCCGCCGAGGGGCAGCCCGCCCTCCGAAAGCACCTCCTGCACCCGCGGCCGCACGTCCTTGTCTATCCACTCCTCCACAAGCCTGCTGCCGCTGCCGCCAGCGCTGCCCGGCGCCTCCCCGCCCGCCAGCCGCTGCCCCGCCGCGGCCGCATCCGTGCCCTGGCCCGCCGGCCGGCCGGCCGCGGGCCCGGTCGCGGGCCCGGGCGCGGCAGAGGGGTTGCGCGGGGCAGCCGCGGCGCCCTGCCACTGCTGCTGTTGCTGCGGCGGCGACTGCTGCGATGGCGCCTGCTGCAGCCATGCGCCGGGCGCCGGCTGGCGAGGCTGTTGCTGCTGCTGCTGTTGCTGTTGCTGCTGCTGTTGCTGCCGTGGCTGCTGCTGGGGCGCGTAGCCGTACCCAGGCTGCGCTGCGGCAGGCCGCTGCTGCGCCGGCGGCTGCTGAGGCGCTCCCCCAAACTGCGCCGCCCCCGGCCGCTGCCGGGGGTCCCCCTGCCACGCCTGACCGCCACCGTACGCCCCTGCCGCCGGGGCGGCCTGCTGCCGCACCTGCTGCCCGTACGCGCCTGGCGCGCCCGCCGTCGGCGCCTGCGCGTAGCCTCGCTGCTGCTGCTGCTGCTGCTGAGGCGAGAACCGCGGCTGGCCGCCC